CTATGCCATTTGTTAAAAGCATTGAAAAGTAAAGTGAGTTGGGACCGTTGAAAAAATCCCATGGAACAAACTCAAAATAGATTAACAGCAAATAAAGTTGTGCATTTGCATTACGTACAGCTTCTTTTGCATAGTAAACTCGGTATGATCTTCCTTCTTTTGCCATCTCCTCCTCAATTTCGTCGTAAACATTCAAGAGGGTATGGTAAAATACTTGCATATAGTCTGGGAGTTCATCCATACAATTGATATCCCACCTGAAAATTGCATAAACCACATTCATCTTAGGATATACACACAGGGAGTAGTTATGCAACAAATAAATCAGTTTCAAATTAATTAGAAAGCAGATAATATATTTTTTCCAATTAACCTTTCAATTGCTCCAGTAAAGATCACGAGTTCTTCGTATGTGCCAAATGCATCGTAGATATCATCCAAAACTGATACCAGGGCAATCACTTTTGTAAGAATTTTTCTTGTTGCCATATAATGCGGTTCGAAATAGACTCCAACTATCCAAAAGTACAGCTCCACGATCCTATCTCTTGTTTATGTTTACATGATTCAAAGACTTACCTAGTAATCTCACTGAGCTCCTTCTTGTGTAAAGATTGAACGAGATTGAAATCTAACTTTGCAAGTTTCAATATAGCTTCACTATGTGAAGCATCATCCTGGTAGATTGACATGTAACCCCTGGCATATACCCTCTCCAGACCCTTCCGCAGAGGTCTCTCTAAGGCTTGAGTTATCTGTAAAGCCAGTGGATTTCTTGCGTCTGTTGTTTCTGCTGACTCAAGGTGAGTGGTGGTGAAAACAAGAGCCTCTTCTAGTATGTCTTCTTCATGCTTCCTTAGATGTGCTGCTTCATAAAAGCTTAGCATCGCAGGAACATCAGCAGTTAAGCTCTCCTTGAAGTTACCATTTTTATCTTTGAACTTGTTGAATATATCTGGTTTATTGTCAGAAAAAATGGGCACATATATGAGACATGGAATAATATTATAGCCAAGAGCCACTCACATCACATTCCACACATTTAATTAATTTCTTCACCCCTACCGCAAGAAACATTGAATCCATGTTGCCTTAGTAGCCGAAAACCAAGAGCAACAGTGTAGAGATCACCACCATCATAGTCATGATATGAAACGTGCACACGTTGCAAGGCTTCTTCGATTTCTCTTTCGAAATGGTAAGCCACGCCAAGGCGCTGGACTGCATCAATTAGCTTGAGATGATGTGAAAAGTCACCTGCACTTGTTGTGAATACTTCCTTCCTCACAGCTACTTTCAGTTGGTCCACTTGCTGTCGCATATGGCCATAAGTTATCTGCTACAACACAACACAACAAATTAAATTAGCAACAAATTAAATTTGAAAAGAATAAAATGCATATAAATAATTTGAATAACATTACAATGTTTTTTTCATCATAATTGAGGAACCGATCTCCCCAAATGCTTGGGTGATAATTTGCTGTCTGCCGAACAATTTCTGGCTCAGCACTGTGTGCTACTTGAGCTGCTATTGGGAAAGACATGGTTTGCTTTGTACTGAAATATTGCCCATACGATTATGCATATATAGGCAAAATCCACATCATTCACTCTAATTAAGATATAATTTCCATGTCGTGGCCGGTTAAGTGGGATGTCTTTCTTTTCCCTTTTCTTTTTGTCACGTACTATTTAGGCCATTGGCTCAATTTAGAGCATATGTTTAACATGTGTTCAATTTAGAGCATACGTTTGAGCATAGATATGTTTAACATGTGTTTGATCCGATTTAAGTATTAGATATGATCCTGAAAAACGAGCTTATCAGCCAAAAATACTTAAGTATCCAGCGTGACAAACGTCGTGTTCACAAATACTACTACCTCTACCGATTGCATTAATATCTCCGGGGATGATTGTTTAACATACTTATAAAACGAAAAATACTTGGTTTTTTTTTTTTTTTTTTTTTTTTTGGAGAAAGTTGAGGATTACATTCATAATTCAGCCAAAAAAGTCACTAGTCACAAAGGCCAATACAAACTAGACACAAAATGACCATTATAATAATAGAGCAATCTAACATCAAAATTAAGACAATCTAGCGTGCCTCCACTAACGAACATGTAGGATAAAATAAACTCTGGCATAAGCATCCAAACTAAGATTGCAAACTCATAATAACAGTGGCTTCGTCCCCCTTCAAATGGAAAACGGCTCTAACAATGTTTTTTGGAAGAGAGGGGACTAGAATACCCAATGCATACTAGATGTAGACTTAATGCAATGTCGGACCATTTTTTAGCATCAACAAATTAGTTTTCTATTTTTTTTTTAATTAAAGATGAAGTTTTTACTATTTTGCCCTTAATATATTAAATTGTGGTTGTTTAGCAAATTGGGTAACCAAGGGGCGTTTTAAATGTGTTTGGATGTTAACGCCGTTTGAGGTCTTCGCCTTTATATATAGAATAATGTTACTCTTACCACATTTGTATGCCGCATCTTTATATTATCTTATGTGGCAGCTGAGGTGGACAGTCACATTAATTAAAATTATTTAATATTTTCTTTTATGATTTATTCCAGTATTTGTTTTTCTAATTGTCTTAATTAAAATACACCTCATTGATTTAATTGATGTGACATATGATATGAACATATGACATCATGTGATATAAAAATGTTATAAATGTAGCATTACTCATTTATATATAGATCTCATAAAATAATTTTTGGGGCCATCCTCGATGTGGAGCACTAGGCGATTATACTTCCGGGCTAATAACAAGGCCGGCTCTGAACAGATACCATCTCTGCATGGTACTTAATTGTGAAAGGTATTTGATTCTGGTTAGTTGGGATAAGCCGGTTCCTTATTATGTTTTATTATTTTGTATCTTATTTTCTATTGTTCGCAATAAAAACCTCTTGACTTTTTGTTACTTTAAAATTAAAGCATTTTAATTCAAAATAATTTATCACACTAATAGGGTGTTAGAGCATCCACAATGATGCTCTCTATTTCTTACCTAAAATTTAGCTAAAAATATAAGAAAGCTATTTTAGGAGCTCTCTAAAAAAGTTCAACTTCAACCATACTCCATAATTTGGAGAGTCATAAATACTATAACTATTTTTTGATTGGTCCATCTATATTAAAAAATAAAATAAAAAATAGTTAGCATTAAATAAATGTTTAAAATACTCATTAAATAAATCAGCATTAAATTATAAGGAGCCACTAGGAGTCTTTTCTCTCTCCTCAAATTTAGGAGCTCCTAGAGGACTCCATATTTTAGGAGGTGGATAGGGAGCATAGTTGGAGTTGCATTTTTATAATTCCTCCCTAAAATTTGTCTAAGGAGGTCGTTTAGGGAGCCCATTGTAGATGCTCTTAGTTGGATTGGCTCTAACCATTGTGATGTGCTCTCAAATGGACTAGAATTCAAGACACTACGAGTTTTCCTCCCACCTTCCTAACTTTGGCAAAAATAATAATAATAATTTTTATAAAAAAAAATTGTTGGAATGATTTAAAATAATTGAGAATAAAAAGTTCATAACATTACAACATTAGCAGTTGTAACACGAGCTTGTAGGGCTCCAGCACTGTTGGATAATTCAACACAAAACATGCATCCAGTGTCGTTATCATGAAAGGTCCAGCTGTTCATCATGAATCATGAAACTTCTGGATGCGCAGGATCATATAATATTATCTGTCAATTTTGGTAAGATCGTGTTGAAGATCGGCTTCCTCTATTTGGATGATTAAATATTCCAAAAGCTACATTGCTTATCAAGACGCTCCCAATCTATCAATTTTATCACTCGTTTTGGATTTCACACGTTAACTATCTGCCCATCATTGGCTTCATGGGCCAACTAATGGTAAGATCTTATCTTTGAAAAGATCAACTTGCTCTGGTCACCAACTATATATGTTTTTTTCCTTTGTCATGGATGGTCATCAACAGTCGTTTGAAAAAGGTGAAAATAATTTAAAACTTCATGGGGTATTTGTGTAAGTTTCAAAATTTCAATGGAGTTTATGAAAACACTGAAAACTTCATAGAATGTTAGTGTAAATAACTCGCAGATATATCTCATCGGATGACCATTCCATTTAGTTCAAGAGATGAGATTGATTATCAAAACTAAAAAAATAAGAAGATTAGTACACAATACTAGCTAGATTGAAGTATTTTTATTGTTTTAATGAAACTAATTTGGGAACAAAGTTTTTTGTTTTGTCATAAACAAGTTTTATTAACGTAGAAAGCCAAAATTAAGGCTTAAGTAACAAGCCACTTCCCATAAACCTTAAATTTGAGGGAGTATAGGGAATCAAATAACATAATATTCACTACCATAGAACGCGTGGAGATAAATAAGGGATATGGGACTTGAAGTCAAAGTGTTCAATACCTATAAAAGGTCAACTAATCCCCCAGCATAAAGGAATAGAGGTATGACATTATTCTGACTCCACTGCAATATTCCTAAACAAACACTAACTTGAGCGTCGGAGTATTTTCTTGTAGGTAGCCCTTCATTCCTCATTGATGGCAATTGAAATAGTATCCAGCTTCTCAACATGAAATACAAGATTACTTGTTAAATAACCGGAAATTTCATGCTCCGACATACACCAAAATGAACTCAAAAACACAAAAAAAAGGCATAAAACTCACTACAACCTGGCACACAAACCAACACAGCTACACACAAAAGATCCACAAATCTGTCCGCCAAAACAGAGACCGAGTAAAACTGGAAGGGAAATGGAAAGGAATGGACATGATCAGTCGAAGGCTACCGACAGTATTGTTATTATTTTATTTTGGGGTATTTTATTATAAATCTCTGTTATTATTGTATTCCTTTTATATGGATCTCTGTCAGCAACAGCAATGGTATTAAAAGGAGTCCACTTTTCTTCTTCGTCTTCTTCCTTTTGTGCTCTCCTACAAGTTTTACAACTTTGAATTCTTTTAAATTCAATATTTGTAAATTAATTTGGTTATGCTATCGCCACCCAAATTCTTATATCCATACCCATATTTTTTTTAAATCTAATCACTAGTCATATTCCTATGTGAGACTACAAGGACCAATTAAATTTAAGCGTATTGTTTGTATCTTTCTGTTATTTGCAAGAGCCTTTTGTGGAGCCATTTTTTTGTATCTTTCTTTTATTAATGAAATTAATTGTTGCAGCTAGTGGTGCATTCAGGATTCTGTGGCCAAGGAGTGATAGTGTAAAAGTTCCGAAATTTTTCTACAAAGAAATAATACTAAAAAAATAGAAAGCCAGTACTTCCATTTATAATTCATGACAAAACCAATAATACAAGTTACAATTGTCCACGATGAGTTTTTATATTTTGAAAATATTGCATTATAGTTTCACGATCAATACAAACAAAAACATCTCTCTCAATGTAAACAATCAAGCTATCATTCAAACAATTAAGCTACGGCAAGAAGAGCTAGTTGAAGTTGATGAACAAAATAATAAACATTAAATGCACATGGTTGTTCTCTCAAAATCTTTGTTTTAAGGTCATTGAACTCATCTCTCATAGTACTAGCTCCATCATAACCTTGTCATCGTAGCTTGGAAAAGCTCAAATTCTCGGAGGAAAAAAATTCATTAATGGCTTCATTTAGTGCACTTGAAGTAGTGTCGATTACATGTTGAACCCCTACAAACCTTTCAATTATTTGTCCTTTGTCATTCACATAATGGAACACCATCGCCATTTGCTCCTTTATTGAAACATTACGTGCTTTATCCATCATTATTGAAAAATATCTATCTTTTACATCACTGAAGATAAGACAAATGGTTTTTTTGGCACAAGAATTGACAAGATCTTTTTGAATTGAAGGAGCTATTAACTTTAGATTTCCCGAAGCATTTTCCAACACAACGGCCTTAACTTTTTCATCATGATCCGCAAGAAATTGCAAGAGCTCTAAATAATTCCCCTTATTACTTGAAATGACACTTTCATCATGACCACAAAAAGAAAGACATTGTCGCAACAAATACCTAGTACACTTGAGTTATGCATTCAAGCAAGTGCAATATGCCGTACGAGCTTGGTTTGTTTGCTTGATCACAATTGTTTCAATATGTGTGATTTGATGCATCAAATTGTAAGCAACTTGTCTAGTTTGGTTGTGAACACTACCAACCGGTCCAACATGAAGGTTAAATCTTTCTTTCCCCTTCTTCCAATTATTAAATCAAATCCTAGTGAATGCGTCACCACCTACTTGATCAAAATTAGGTTTAAAGTGATAACAATGAAGCCAAAACGCAGCATCTTTAGCTATACTATATTCCAACAAATTAAACACATCAAACCATTGAGCAATGAAGCATTTATTAATTCCTGATTAATTAATTTGTGGGAATCTATGACTTCTAGGTTGACAAGGTCTCTTTTTGTACAAGGTCTCTTTTTGTAGATATGCTCTTCAGATCTCATCTCGAATATTAGGACTACAATCCATCATTTGAGTTCTTAGTCCAAGGTCTGCCTGAGGATTAGCCAATATTTCATCTACTTCATTGGTCTTGCATTTGAACTACCCAAATTAGATGGAGAAGGACGATCCATTGATAATTTTCTTTTAAAGAATCATTCCATAAATCTACACATCAATTAATTCAATCAATCATTAATTTTTATCCAAATTATCATATGAATATGAAAATGTCAATAACCCGACACTTTTTTCGTTAGGAATAGTAATAATATTCAATATACCATACAAGTTACATCAAATATGGTATGTTTTTTAGTGGGCTCATTAAAATATTCCCAAAGAAAACCCAATAGGATAAAACTTTACTTGTGAATCATAAGTCGTACAAGATCACATCAACCATATCCAGCTAGAATTACAGCAATATAGAGTAACGCACGTCTCTCTCGCGTTAAAAACTTGTGGTGCATGGCGGATGTAGCTTGTTATTATATTGATTTAACTCATGTATTGAAGAGGAAAGTACCATCATCATCGATTCATCACTATGCTAGCTTTAAAAGAGGCAAAAAAATGCTAAACATCTGCTCTAAATCCAGCCAATGGCCCAATATGTTAAGTGAGAAAAAAGTTAGAAGGAAAAAGATAAAGGTTTTTTAGTTAAATACCGAATTCTACACCTAGTCCTATTACAAAACCCTATACCATTTAAGCTTTATAAACATACCCAAAAATCAACAATTATATATATTTTTAATTTAATTAATAAGATGATATACCTTTATTACCCTTTTTAGCATTAAATTAGTTGTGGATCTCATTTAAATTAGAATGCAGAGAACATAAAAATTCTCTCTCCCCTTCAAATCCTCATCTCTCCTTTGTTCTCTCCCTTCTTCCCTCTCTCTGCCTTCAAAGTAAACCAAACAGTCTCAGAGCCATGGACCAACACAAGACCAACGAAACTTTAAAACTATTCTATAGCTATGGTAGAAAAATCCTCCCTCGTCACACCGACGACAATCTCCGTTACGTCGGTGACCTCACACGTGTTCTTGCAGCCGATGCCTCCATTTCCTTTGCAGGTTTGTTCCATCTGCTTCAATCTGTTATTTTCCTTTTGATTTTTGCTTAATTTACTTGAATTTCGACGCAATTTCAGTTTCATGTGGCTACTTTGTAGATTTGAGGTGTCATTTGCCGAACAAAGGTGTTCAGAATGTAGACATCGGTGGTGATTGCGAGAAGAACGAAGATGAAGACGATTCTCTTTCGCCTGCACCAACCCCAACGGATAGCCGATGTATTCCAAATGGCTAGATTTGTCATGTGTTCACGATTTTCAACCTGGATCTCCTGTTTGCTGATGCCGCCGATGACAATTGTTCCAGAGCCAAAAGGGCTACCGCTTCGTCTTCCTCTCTACGGCTGCCATTGAAGAAGCTCCTCTTTGAAGAGCTGGATACGCCGACCTCAGGAACGTCTTTTTACAACTTAGGAGGTGGACTCGATCCTGATCCATGAGATCAACTAGCTTTTGAGTTTAATCATCAACACCTTCTACAGCAATAAGGAGATCGTTCTCCGTGAGCTCATTAGTAACGCCTATGATGTACGTATTTTCACCATTTATTCTTATGATGATTTCTTATTTCAATACTTTCTAGTCTTTATTGTATGAATCGTTGTGTTTTCTGTTTGTGTTTGGCTTGTGACTGTTTTAAATTCAACGACTTACCTTGTATGGCTTAGGTTAGAGATCTGAATATGTAAACTTTTATGTTGTGGTTTATGATCGTTTCAATATGGAAGGAAACTAATTTATTTGTTCTTTAGTCGTGATAGGCATATTTGTTTTGGTTGATGTTTAGCCAATACATTACAAAGAGGATGTATCCTTTCCTCCATACATAGGACTGTTCCCTGTAATATTAACCAAATTCAGTTTCCCTACTATTGCCTCTATGATTGACCAAAGCCTATCTGTTAGGTACAACATATGTTTTAATTCATTTAGTTTTGGTGTTGTCGAATGATCCAAAGAACACAGATAGATACATAATTTTTTTAATTTCATAATAGTCCAATGATCTAAGTCTTCGGATACTCATAACCTTGCACTTACAACAAGAGTTAGACTTTCATCTTTGTATTTACAAATTTTATCTTGATTTCAGATTGCTTAGACTTGTTGGTCAATATTAGGTTTTACACAGAGAGGTAACATAGCGAAGCAAGCAGCATTTAAAATGTAATAAATGATTAATCATGTTTTGTATTCATTGACTTGAAGCATGTCTTGCTTAGGACACATTGGTTAAGTCATGCACAAATAGACCACTATCTTACCCCTAACTACTACAATGCTTAGCCAACAAACTACGACCCAACCAAGAGACCAAACATTATACGTTATACATCATTTCAAGCTGCTTGCTAAGAGTCTTATAAAAGTTTAACCGAAAAATTGGGTGAGTTACATATGTTTTGCTAAACATCTATTTCAGGAAATTGGGTTGCTGATAAAATGTGTCAATATTCACAAATTCCTCATTTTCAGAGTTAGAAAATGAGAAAGTTGGTTTATTTATTGTACTAATTTTGTGCAATTGTTTTTGCTTCTGAGTTGTAGCTGAAAGAGAGCTTGCTTTTTTTGTCTTGCAAGTTTGTAATGGAATTGCAGCTGAATTTAATGGTCAGGCTTTGATATCATTTTGGTCTTCTGTTATTTTGGTGAAGAGAGAAATTATCATTTTGAACTCATTCTAAGTGTGTCGTGTGATTGAATTTATTCATTTCTCTGTGCTTTGATGTGGCATTTGCAGCAAGTCAATTTTGGCTTTTTGGGTGGTTGTGGATCTAATATATGACTCTTGTAAATTGCAACAACTTGGTAAGTTGATTTGTAGTATACAATTTGTTGATTTGTAAGTGGTATGAACAGTTGTTAACTTCCAGTTTGTGGTATCAACAGTTGTTACCCTGCAACTGAGTTGATTTATATGACATAGTATTAATAGTGTACTTCTATGACAAAGTATTAACAGATTTTCAATAACAAAGCATGCTTTATATTTTGCTCTATATATAGTTGTGCACTTGAAGTTTATGATATGCAAAATGTGATTTTTACTGGGAAGATAGTTCTATAACATAATATTAACAATGTACTTCTGTGACATAACATTAACAATGTTTTTTTTTTTCTTGTAAAGGTATTTCCTTTTGCCTTCGCGATTGTATCTGGTAAAACTGTGGACAATTGGAGGTGGCTGCAAATTATATCGGATGTCTTGCTAGGCTTTTTTGGGTATTTTTGAGTTTTTGTATGAAATGGTATTAACAATGTTTTTCTATGAAATTATATTAAGGGAGGTTTACTATTATACCCAATATAGGAGTCCAAATTATAAAATATATATAAAAAAAATCCTATATGAAATGGACTTTAGAAATAACACCAAAAGCCCATTTGTAATATAACAAAAAGACTTTTAACTTCCTTTAAATTGCAAAATTGCCATTGGTTTCTTAATACATACCCAACCCCAAAACCTCACAAAAAAGCCCAAAAGACTCAATATGGCATCAAAGTAATTTAATAATTAAAATTAAATTCAATAGATCCAGCTATCATTTTTTGGGCTTTTTTGGGGGTATGTTTATAAAAACTAAATTGTGTAGGGTTTATTTATAGTTTTATTTATAATATATGACTAAATATCGCTTATATTAATAATGTTTTTTTTCCTATGAAATTGTATTAACAATGTACTTCTATGACATGTATTTCTCTGATATGTTATTAACAATGTATTTCTCTTATTTGTTATTAACAATCTACTTTTATGACATGGTATTAATAATGTATTTTATAACATGGTATTAACAATGAAATTTTGTGACATGGTATTAACAATGTACTTCTATGACATGGTTTGTGGAGGTTTGATGGAGAATGAAGGGTCATGGGGACAGACCCTTGGTTTTGGTGATTTTTTATTTTATTTTTAAAGTTTGGATTTTTTCAAAAAAAAAAAATCTAGGATGGGCTTGCTCGGCTTGTTTTGGGTTTTTTTGGGAATTTTGTGTTGGGCTTGTTTTAAGTTAATAAATGGCAAAAATGTAATTTATAGGAACTTCAATACTAATTTCATTTGTAGTAAATGATTTTTAGGTATGTTTCTAAACTGCATTCCATGTAGGGTTTTTTTTTTATTATAATTAAAGCCCCTGTTTTGGGTATATTACTAAAGCTCCCAAAAGATAATATATAACCTCGCACTCAGAAAAGGGAGAGCCCTAGCCGTGGAAATTATTGCTTTGAAAATTATTATATGGTTTATATGAATCTATCTTCTGCTATTCACGATTCTATTCTTGCCTTGCAATAATCTTATATCCCAACCCTTGCCTATATATACATGAGTCTACCATCAATGTGTTTCATAGTTTCATAGCAAAGCTCGAAGAGTATAGAAAACAGTACTAATAAGTGCCGTCTGATTTTTATCTACCAAAGAAAAAACAGCAAAACATGTCTATCCAAGTTTGTGCAGCAGCCCACTCTAAGCCTGAAATTATTCGTCGGACGGAAAATTTCCCACCAAACATTTGGGGAGATCGGTTCATGAACTATGATTTCCAAGACATTGTAATCTCATGCAAATTATATATTCATGTTTATTTTTCTCAAAAAAAAATATATATATTCAAAAGTGTTTTCCTTATTTAATTAATTGCTGGCCGCAGATAACAAATGCCCGGAACCGAGAAGAAGTTGAGGAGCTGAGAGAAGTAGTTAGGAGGCAAGTATTCACAACTAGTGCAGGTGACTTTTCACATCAGCTCAAGTTGATTGATGCAATCCAACGCCTTGGTTTGGCATACCATTCTGAAAGTGAAATTGAAGAAGCGTTGGAGCGTATGCATGCTGCATTTCCTGACCATGACTTTAGTGATGATGGAGATCTATACGACGTTGCTCTTGGTTTCCGGCTACTAAGACAACATGGATATAAGGTTTCATGTGGTAAGTTAATCAACAAATTATCATGTAGTGGAGTGTAATGTGACTGATTTTGGCCAACTAATGCCTGTTCATTTTTATGACAATCAAGCAGATGTGTTCAACAAGTTCAAAGACGAAAATGGCAGCTTCAAGGAATGCCTAATTGTCGATGTTCCAGGGATGTTAAGCCTTTATGAAGCCGGGCATCTAGGCATACAGGGAGAAGAAATACTAGATGAAGCTCTTGCTTTCACCACCACTCACCTTGACTCTGCTGCAAAAGCTCATGGAAACTACTAACATGCAGAACAAATCACTCAAGCCTTGGAGAGACCTTTGCGAAAAGATCTAGAGAGGGTATGTGCCAGGCATTACATGTCAATCTACCAAGATGAAGCTTCACACAATGAAGCTTTGTTGAAACTTGCGAAGTTAGATTTCAATTAGTTCTGATAATTAAAATACAAGAGTGTCCCTCAAGTTAGTTTATTTGAGGGATGTCTCAATGGACACTCTATATATATAAATACAAGTTAGAGAAACCAATCTAGAAACAATATGGCAGTTTGGATCGAGCCGGTTTATAAGCCTAAACAATTTTTTTTTTAAAATTAAAAAAAAACTGTTACTTAGGCCCAAGTTTGGAAGGCTGTAGGAAGGAATTATTTGTACATATTACCTCAGAATTTATCATACATACTAGAAAAAGAAATTAATTAACTAAATGATTAATTTCTGGCCATGTAACAATGTTAATCGTGGCTAGCTCAAAACATATCAGGCTTACTGCTTCTCTAGCATAGTGACGACTGTGATATAAATCTCCCTCTTCTCCAAACTTTTCTTCAATTTCAGTGTAGAAATCCAACATTGCTTGACAACAGAATTTCATATACTCTGGTAGGTTGTCCATGGCTAAGATATCCCACCTGATGATAAAAATAAGTTAATAAGACTTGTGTCAAACTGATGATCATTATTCAGTATTTAGCTAAAACTTTTTGCAATAATTAAATTTAAAAAAAATTAATTCGGTTTATATGGATTTCAATAAACCTTTCCACATCTTCAGCAAAGAGCTCTAGTTCATCAGCTGTGCCATACACATCATAGATGTCATCAATGATGGTTATCAAAGCAATAACTTCGGCCAATATCATCCTAGCAAAGTAATATATTCAGGCTAAAAGTAAACTCCCGAAGCCCCAAAGTAGCTCTCAACTATTCTGTCTCTTGCAAAGGGCAGCTTGTTTACAAAGTCCAAGTCCTTCCACAACCTGAATAAATATCAATTAATTACAATTAATAATCATTAATTTTGAATTAATTAGCATTTCACTTAATGTAGTTAATTAACCTTGTAATTTCACTTAGTTCTTTCTGATGGACTTGCTGCACAAGGTTAAAATCCAGCTTTGCCAAAGTTAATTAGGAGAGTTTCATTTTGTGAGTGGCCTTCCTCCTCATAGATGGACAAGTAAATCCTTGCTTCCAGCCTTGTGAAGCGCTTCCAGAATGGTTGTTACAAGGCATGAGTTACTTGTTTAGCAAGTGAGGGGCTTAAACGCTGCGTTTCAACCGCTGTAGTTAGATTTGTGGTGGTGAAGGCAAACGCCTCATCTAGTAATGCATCCTAAGATGTGTGGCTTCGTACAAGCTTAGCAGCCCTACTACATACCTCAGCACATGCATTAATATTATTACAAGATTAGAGGAAGAAATTAAAATTAATTAATCTAGCTAGAATTATAAAACAAACGTGTGACCGCAGACTAACCGCATGAAACCTTATTACCTTGTTGCCTAAGCAACTGGAATCGGAGAGACAAACAATATCTATTCTTTTCAGCAATACTAACAATCTCTAACGTATCCAAAAAATTTCCTTGCAGGGGTCAACATCTAAGAGGTTAAAAAAAACTACACAAAAAAAAACTCATAAAAATGAAACGATAATTTATAATTCATAATTAATAGAAAAAACCATAGTACAATTGTCCATGACGAGTTCTCAAATTTTCTTGCAACTCACTTCTTTCGAACTACCCAACACATCTCTTGAAATACCCATATCTCTCGAACTTGAACTATCCACATTATCCGAACTAGAAATAGTTGATGAGAACTTTCTCTTAAAGTATCGTTCCATAAACTATATTGATAGAAATAATCAATAAAACATACAAACAAAGAAATACAATCTATTCAAAAATCCTTAATTTTTCCATACTAACCAAAATAAGGTTTTTTTACTTAGATTGACCTTAGATCCCTTAATGCATTCATTTCATACATGAAAAATCATTTTCTCAAGATAATTTTTGGCGGCTTTTATTCCTTACACATCAAATAAGAAAACTTGATTTTATGAGATTTTAGTATGAAGTATATATTGACTTAATGAGTCATCATTTTTAGCCTAAATCGTATTTTGCACTAAAACTGATTTTTTTTCATATTTTGATTTGGTAGGAATTTGATTTTCTAGTATTTTTTATTTGAATCCAAATGTTGGGGGGGGGGGGGTACTTCCTTATTTACATTGTAAACTTAAGTAAATGGAGTAATATAAAAATAAATGAAAGTAAAAGGACAAATATGACAGGACCCGACCCAAATTCCACTTTGGAATCTACATCGAATCTTGTGCGTGTCCGACACCTGGCAGGTGCCGAGCATGGCACACTTGACCAAATTGCCCTTCTAACTAAGATTCGAAAGTAGAATTTGGCTCGGATCCTGTCAAAAGACATTTGCTCCTATGTGGTCACTTGACCACCCTTGCTCCTATGTGAATCCATCCCATGTAAATTGTAAAGTAATCAATTGTCAGGCCAAACAATATACGCACCAAAATAATAATGCTAATATTCCTTTTCTATCGAGGGACATTGTGTGGGTTCATTATGAATTTTACTGTCTATTTTTTTAGCTTTCATTTAAAGTTATTAATGTCAAATTTTAGACAAGTCGGAAATCATTAATGCACCAAGTTGAGGAACAAAATAGGCAAACAAGTTATTTCAAGAAAATATTAAAATGACAACCATTGAATTTAGTGGTTAAATAGTTTCATATTCGAGTGATTTTTCGCACGCAAGAAAATATTAATTGCCGTTTTATTCAATTTAATGTCATTTTTTAATATTTCTTGCATTTCCAATTTTATTTTTTTGATAGACTATTCATGGCAAAACAAAAAAGAGGAAAACCATTACACATGGCTCATAAAGTGAATAATGCCCACAGTTTGTTCCATTGGTGCATCCGTGTCGGAAATAATGACACTATTATGTCTTCCGAAGGAAAA